TTTGAGCACTTCAAGGAAAAAGTTGCTAGCGTCGTTTTGCCCAATTCTTACACTTCGACCTTCACCGCTAGGCCTCTGGCTAGAAGAGTCTTCAATTCCAATAACTGAGGCGTCCGGTGATTTGGACTGCAAAAAGCAAAACTGAAACAATGAGTGGAAATGTAAGTTAGCTTAGTTGGCATCGCGTGGAGTATTGAAACCTTTAGTTTTTTTTTATTGCAGACATCTTAACCACGTCAGTTGAAATAAGAAGTGAGTATCTGGAACTAGCCGGCGCGTTATTGTGCAAGGCTGAATTACGCCTTTCGATGGAGTTAGAGTTTAATTGTAACGGTGAATGGTCGACTTTGATCATTTTACTACATCCATTTACAGCTGAGAGCTTAAGTTTCTCAGTGGAACTTGTTGTTTCAGATTCAGGAGGCTCCAGTTGTATGTGACTACAGGGGGGATTAGAACACAGGTCTTATTATCGTTTGGTACGCAATTTGAAGTGGTTTCATAAGCTGCCCGGGTTAGAGCAGGCAAAGCTTTAAAACAGAGTGTTTCGCTTCTTTTTTAATTGCTTCGAAGTTATAGGGAAGGCAATACACTGAGAATGAGTCTGAGCTGAGTCAAAAGATTTGAGTGCTGTGTGCGGGGGTTAATAAATTTCATATTAGCGTGAGGTATCAATTGAAGGTAGATAATTTTAAGTTAATGTGGTTACAAAATGCCCATATGGAGTCTCGGTAGATGGAGAACGAGAAATATAAAGTTTTGATATTAGTTCTTTGGAAATAGAAATTGAAATGGTCAGTAGAACACTGATTGGACTCAGACTTGTTAACGGGCCGCCATAATTGAGGCGCGGCGCGGCGCGGCGCGGCCCGGCCCGGCCCGATATAATTCAAGTCAAGCCCGTTGGCGGCCCGATAAACAGGGAATTTATTAAATATCGGCCCCTTGGGGCCCGTTGCTGCTTTTTTGGTAAAAAACAAATTTGTTTCAAAACAATTTTAATTAATTGTTTTACTTATTTATAAAGACCTTTTTTAAAAGCCATGGAAACCATTTCAATTGCCTCAATGGTTGTAGGCGGAAGTTTTGCCCGTCTTTCGGATACCGTCAGACCGCAATCAGAGTAAAGCCTCTCCGACTGCCCGGAACTGGACTGCCCGGAACTGGCCATCCATAATGCATTGTTTCAGAACAAGTATTGGTTGTTCGTCACCAGGAATACGCTTTAGCAGACTATGTAACATGTGCCACTTTTTGCATTGTAAGACGGAATAATGAATCCAGAGGCGACAACTTTCACAAGTTTAAATGTCTTCCAGACTTCGGATTTGAAGTGCTTTGTGGTGCCCACGGAGTCTTCTTCCACAAATGCAAAGATTTCGTGCTTCGTGTCACGTCGAATTTGTTTCTGCAGTGAATCGGCAGTGAACGTAGTAGTCATGTCGTTTAGCACACTGCAAGCTGAACAGTGCGCACTGAAACATAACATTGGTTAGTCAATAAAAGTAAGGGCCGTTGGGGCCCGTTGACAAAAGTGAAAACCTCGGCCCGGCCCGGCCCGGCCCGGCCCGGCCCGGCCCGGCCCGTTGACAAGTATGATTGGACTGTTGAGACTTAGCTGCGACAAATTTAGTTTCAGAAACACTATATCTAAATAAGGTTCTGACATGTTTACTTCAGAGCTAGCTGCTGAGCTAGCAGCTCAGAAGATCTGGCAGAAAAGTGTTCTTTAGTTTTTTTATGAGTGACTGCCGTCAAAGGGTTCAAAAAATCTATATCCAGAACAACAGATTTTTTGGGATCTTTTCGGCTGAAACCATGAAGAAAACTAAATGCTTCGGGAAATAAAGACACTTTGGTCGAGGAGAGGGATAGAAACAGTGCTTGTGCAATTTTGAGTTCGGGTGTTTGCTCAGAGGGAGGAAAGGAGGGCTACAAAAATTTCTAGAAGGGGACTAAGCAAGGAGCTTGAGCGATAGAATTTGGAAAAATAAGGATGTTTTCAGGATTTAAAACAAAAGATTTACGCTGATTTTTTTTCCAAATGAATGGGATAAGCGAAGCGCGTAGAAAAAAACGTATGAGTTTTTAAGGTAATCTATTTTCAAATTCAGTTAGAGCAGCTACCTATGCGCTTTAATTGCCAATGCGATTCAGAAAAAATGACACTAAAAACAAGTAGACACAATTTTGCAAGTCATAAGAAGTTGGAATATGACAAACTGAAGCCATCTACACTAGCTTTGCATGTAACAAATCGGAAAGCATGAAGCCACATTATATATAAATCATGCATTTCAAAAAGTTTCAGGACAAATTGAGTTAGAAAAAGCTTAAAATCGAGTTTTTATCATTTTTAAGTTGTTTGAGAAAATGTTTTTTTTTGCTTCATTTATTGAATTAAAAATGAATCATCTATGATAAATTATCACTATTTGAACTTCAAAGCACATGCAATTAAAAAACTGTCAAGATACCCCAAAGGGGCAAAACTATTTCCGACTTAGGTTAGAAAAAAAGAAGGTTCTTAATAAAACACTGAGCCGACGCTAGTGTAAGCATACAACTTTAAATAGCCAATGAAATAGAAGTTTCTTAAATTTTTGCAAAACAAAAAATCTGGGAGACTATCGTTAAGAAGATACATTAATCATTTCTCTGAATAATTCTGTTCAAAATCTGATTCGGATCAGTTGTGCATTGAACGCGTTTGCAAGAGAAGACCATGCCAATAGAATTTAAGATTTTTAGCCGCGATCGGTTCAATATATATGATAACCGCCAGTTCTTTTTTGCCTCCATTCTTGGCTACTAGATAGAACTGCTGCCAAGAACTCGAACATGCTTAATGGTTTCTTCGCTGCTTCTTCGATTGATTAACTTGTTTTTCAAGCTCTTACAAAGCCCGAAAATACCATATCTTGAAAGTTATACTGAGCAGTCGGCAAAAATTTCTGAAAAAAAGAACATTTTCAAAATTTCTTTGCCAAAAAACATTAAGTGCGCGCTTCCTTTCATCATTAGCCATATTATTAGTCTTAAGATGACACAAAAAATCTAGTTTATGTTATTTAAAATTGGATAACGTGAAATACCAAATGGTGATTTTTGGGCTTCCTCGTCTCTGAACCGCATTTTTTCCTAAAATTGTCCCTTTAAAACTTTTTTCCATAAATAGCGAAGGTAGGAGTCTGCTGTTCAAGTAGCACTAAAAACACAAAAAAAAATAGATTTTTCAATTGCACCGTTTTTTGGTCGTGGTGTCACAGGACCTAAATTGAAATCAAGAATTTGGAAAATTTCAAAGGAAAAGCAAACTAGGGTTAGTTGACAAGTTTTTTTTCTCAAAAAAAAGAGGACAAATATTTTTTAAAAAAACTTTGAAAGTCTTTCAAATTTATCGCCATGTCTTTTTATTCCCAGAAAAAAGTTGAAAAAATGATTTTACTGGAACTAAAATAGGTGAAAACCTATCGCCCTGTCACAAGCCTGCTCTCAAGCTTTAATCGCTCGGAATTATGCAATCACAAACAGTTACAGTTTCGAAAGGAAATGTTAAGTTTATGGTTTAGACCCCAAGACAAAAAACCGAAATTTTCAAACCGGTTTTTCTTGACAATGAGAAAATTTTTGAATTGTTTTCACTTCGTTCGAATCATGATTGAAAGTTCTTTATTATGATATGTAACTCGAGTCATTCTCATAATTTTAAAAGGTACTTGATTCTTTGTGGAAAAAAAAACTGAAGCTTTCAGTGGTTGGAAGAACTAGACTTCAGCGGTTGGAACAATATACTTAAAATTTGTATTTGAAGTTGTAATTATTTGCTATCAAAAAACCTCATTACAATCAGGGAAATCAAGGTCAGCCAACAGCGAATTGAAACTGAGAAGGAGATATGGAAATATAGAGCCTAGCAAATATTCCTCTAGAAATATAGAGCCTAGGTAAATGGAGAATGAGAAAGATAAAGTTTTGATATTAGTTCTTTAAAAATCGAAATTGAAATTTTCAGCAGAATATTGATTGAACTCGAGGGACTCTGCTGCGGAGTAGTTTAGCTCAAGAAAGTTTATACTTAAATAAGTTTCTGACATGTTTATATCAGAGCTAACTGCTGAGCTAGCAGCTCAAAAGATCTGGCAGCAACGAGTTCCTTAGTTTTTTCATGTGTGACGTTTCACGCAGTCAAAGGGTTCAAAAAAAACTAGAGCCACTAGAACATATTTCTTTTGTGATCTCTTTGGCTGAGCCCATGAAAATTTTCTTTGCCTCGGGAAATTAAGACATTTTGGTCAAACGTAAGGATAGAAATAGAGTTCGTGCGATTTAAGTTCCGGTGTTTGTTCAGTGGGAGGCAAGGAGGGCTTTCAAAATTTCAACACACTGAAGGAATACCAAAAACTGAAGGAATTTTGGAATACAACACACTGAAGGCATCCAAACTAACTGAAAGTAAGAAATCGGAAAGCATACAGCCACATTTTGTATTAAATATGCATTGCAAAAAGATTTATTGAAATAGAAAAAGTTCAGAATTCGGGTGTTTTTTTGTCATGTTGTTTGAAAACAATTAGTTTTTTTTCGGTTCATTTGATGAATTTTTGATATTTTCATAAAAGTGGGTAAAAACTTATCGCCCTATCACAAGCCTGCTATCTCGCTTTAATGGCTTGGAATTAAGTTGATTGTTTCGACTACAAGAAAAAAAAACCGAAATTTTCAAACCGGTTTTTCTCGACAATGAGAAAACGTTTTTATTTGTTCGAATCATGATTGAAAGTTCTTTAATATGATATATCACTCTAATCATTCTCATGATTTTGTGTGGATGCATTCTCATGATTTTGCGTGGTACTTTATTTTGCGTGGAAAAAAAACTTAAGCCTTCAGCGGTTGGAAAAACTAAACCCTTCAGTGGTTGGGACAAAATACTTAAACTTTGTATTTGAATTTGTAACTGATTGCGATCATAGAGCTTCATTTACAATCAAGGAAAGTCAAAAGGGCAACTGTGAATTGAAATTCCTGGTCCACTGAAAATGTTGTAGAACAAAATACGGAACATTTTATACAAATCAACTCAATTAAATAACTTTTACGCCAATTTTACGCAACATCTCAACAAAAACAGAAATTTTTGCACCACAGGACGTACAAACAAAAATGAGGTTATTTTTCTTTCCCATTCCTTCTACGAGCAATCATGGCTAATTGCAAAGGACGAGTAAAATGTGTTATTGATTATTGGCCACTAAAATTTCAACGGCCACTATGGCCACTTAGCAGTATTTTTTCGTGAAATTAGTCAGACGAGGAAAGAAAAAATAGACATGGATAAGTTTAGATAAGTTTGTCGTTCATGAGAAGCCCATGATGGGTTTGAGTCTCTTGGGACACTTGTAGAGATGACTCTGAAGGAGGATTGAATCCCTGAATATCTCTCGGCAGTCATTGCACAGGAAGGGCAGCGAGTCCTGCATCACAGGCTTCGGGATCTGAAACATAAGATTCTGAAATTTAGCGCAGTGATGAAGTAGCTTTTGCAACTTCTTTTCAAACAAACAATTATTTGATGAAATTGTAGAACTTCTGAGGGGTGCCCGGCCACTGCTCTTGATAGTGACTCATTACATGTGCTTATATATTGAACTCGTAATCTAAATTCACTAACTACGTCATCGTCGAAGTCGCTTTCTTCTTCGGAGACATCGGAGGCCCCTTTATCGTAGATGTGGATATTCTCTATCAAACTCTGTCAAATAACAAAAAAATAGTTAGTATTCAAAACAAGGATAGCCGATTGCTGAGCAAGTAGCACATAATGTTTCGACCACATTCATAAAAAAGTTTTTTCTTCAAATTAAAGTAATTTTTAGTGCGTGGTCTGCCGAGAGAACTATGCAAAGGCGTACAAATTTCGTGAATTAGACATAATCGACTAAAAATTTTTTATCAAAAATTGAATGATAAACAATGTTTTCTTTAAATATTTCTAAAACATATTCTTATTTTTTTGCCCAATATGTTTTAACTGAATAACTGATAACTGATAAATAAAAACTGACCGTTCCGATATCTTGTATAATTTAACTCCCTGAAATAAATAATGGATTGTTTCACTATTGGGTTCGCAACTAAACCGTTTTCAAAGTCAGTGTAATCAATTAAAGGATAAATCTAGTTAACTTCACAGGTCCTCAAAGGAATTGTTATCCGATTTTTTCAGTTTCATTTCCGAAAAAACAGCAAGTTCCTAGATGTTCGAATCACTCAAAGCCAGGATCTAAAACAAAGATTGTTTTTATAGGGGAAGTTTGCTTTAACGATTTTTCACGATCTTTAAGAAAAATAGTCCCATTAGGAAAATGTTCACTCGCTCAAAATCAAACCCAACCGCAAATATTTGAACCTGCTTTTCGCGTTACTGATAAAGCTTTTTTTTAATTTTTTTTAAATATTCGAATCACGACTGAAATCACACGACCAATTCCGAAGTGGTAATTCATTTTGCGTTGGAAAAAAAGTAAAACACGCCTGAAAACTAAGTTCCTCTCCATTTTCAAGGTCGGAACAATGAAACATGTCCAACAAAATTGAAACGAGTCAAAGAACGCAATGAAAAAAAAGATACTGTCTTGTTTTTCTTAAAAAAAAGGCTTCAACTTACGAACTTACGAAGTAAAAAGTATATGGCCTTCAAGCTCTTTAAATTTCAAGAAAAGCTTATGATACTTTTATGATAAAAGAACTCATTTTGATAAAGTTTTCATTCCGCTGAGAAAACTAAAAATTAAAATCTACTTTCGAGATCAAAAGTCGATCCCGTTTTTAGCGCCATTCGTAATAGAAGAGCGAAATTTATCTAAATTATAGCCGATGAATTTGAGCTGAACTCAAAAACATTCGAAAGACGGTTGGAAAAAGTCAATGAACGCAAAAAAAAAATTAAGGACACATTTTTTGAAAAATCTAAAATATGAATTTTTTTTAAAGATGCCTTTATAACTCTTTGAATTTCTAGAACAATTTATGATTGACACTTTTTTGATTAAATTAACCCAATATGAGAAAATAGGATCAATTAAATTAACCCAATATGAGAAAATAGGATCAATAGGTAAAATTTCTATTTCGCTGGGAAATTCGATAAGTACTTTCCATTTTCGAAACTAGAAGTCGATTACGTTTTTTGTGGCCTTTGCGCTTTCACTGTTCGATAGAGAAATTTGCCTTCTTTTGAACAAAGAAAATGAGCTTAACTTTAAAAAAATCGGCAGTCAAACCGCGAAAAAGTAAATTTGAGCCTGAACTAATTTATAGTTTTTTCCAGAAAAAAAAAATATATATATTTTTTCCGGAAGAGTCTATAAATTAGTTCAGGCTCAAATTTACTTTTTCGCGGTTTGACTGTCAATTTTTTTTAAAGTTTAGCTCATTTTCTTTGTTCAAAAGAAGGCAAATTTCTCTATCGACCAGTTATTTTTTTTCTGAAAAACTCTTAAAATACTCTAATAACTACATAAGTGCAATAATACATATTAATGCATTAATAAATGCCTTAAGGTATATATGTTTTTTAAGAGTCGATCAACGTAGTTCAGATTTGTATATAATTCGCGATTACGTTTACTCAAGTTTATTTTTCACTTCCAGGCGAAGTGTCCTCCGGCCGGAATGGCAAAAGTCATAACGGTTGTTATATTTTATATATATGTATCATTGCACTTATGTAGTTATTAGAGTATTTTAAGACTTTTTCTGAAAAAAAATAACAAGAAAATCACCAAGACATATATGAGTCTTCACTACAATGATCGACTCTTAATAAAAATAAACTAGCGTGTACTGCACCTCCTGTGCTTCGAATTTTTAACAACTCATTAAAGCCGCATATATTGGAAATAAGATCTGCATCTTTTGAGTGTACTCTGACAGCACCAAATTACAGGGTTCGTAATTACAAATTTTGCAAAGTTTTTTAATACAAATTTTGAAAAACCATAAATTTTTGTGAAATTTTATATAAATTTTATATATATAAATTTTTATCAAAATGAACTAAAAAACGTCACATCATAGAAATAAAAAGCAATTGAGCAGTCGCATTTGGACCCAAGATTTGCAACTCCGGAGAGTACTCTTACAGTACCCAATCACAACGTTGGGAAATTCAAATTTAGAGAAACTTCAAACTTAAAATTTCTAAAAAATGATTATTCAACAAGATTTGAACAGTTTTATTTGAAGGCAAAATACGCAACCCTTGACAGTACTCTAGCACACAACTACAGGTTGCAAATTTCATATTATTTGAGGTTATTTTTCAATTTGAGTTTTCTGATAATTTCTGAAAAAATCACAAAAGTCGTCGTATCTCGTAGGCTGAAAACATTTGGGTATTCATAATTGGAAGCCAAATTCGCCTGTAGTTGCGTCTGACAGCCCTCAACTACAGGTTAGGAATTTAAGATTTTGAATAAAGAGGTTTAATTTAAGTTTTCGGAAATTTAATTTAAAAAATGGCAAAAAACGTCATATCTGGAAAACTACAGGTTTTAGAGCTGTCATTTTGAAAGGCAAAAAACGCAAATCCTGAAATTACTCTGATAGACCCTACTACAGAATTGGGAACCTCAAATTTTTAATAAAAAATTAAATTTAATTTTTCTGAAATTTTTTTGAAAAAATCACAAAAAACGTCATATCTGGAAAACTAAAAGGTTTTTAGCTGTCATATTTGGAGGCGAAATTCGCAAAGTCTGAGAGTACCCTGAGAGCGCCTCACTATGAGATGGGAACTTCAAATTCTGGGAAATTTTTTATATCTAAGTTCTCAGAAAATATTTTCTATAACTAATTTCTCGAAAAAATCCTAAAAACGTCATATCTCGAAAACTACAAAGATTTGAGCAGTCATATTCTGAGACAAGATCGCAACCCCTGAGAGGAACCTCACAGTTTCCAACAACAGGATTGAGATCTTCACAAAATTTTGGAATTAATAAAACAAAGTTTTTTTTGAATAAAAATCATAAAAAACGTCATATCTCGAAAACTACAAGGATTTGAGAAGTGAGATTTGGAAGCAAGATTCGCAACCCCTGAGAGTATCTTGATAGCATCCAACTACCGGGTGAATTTCAAAAATTGAGAAACATTCTAAAATCAAATCACGAAAATTGCCGTATCTCGTAAACTAAAAGGAGTTAGTTATTCATATATGGAGGCCAGAATCGCAAAACCTGGGAAAACCCTGACATCCAACTATTGGTTAGCTAATTTCAAACTTGATGAAAACAACACTGAATTTAAACAGGAAAATCGAAAAAAAACTTACATTGTAATATACGATATAGCTCAACGTGCAAAAATTTTTTCGTTAAACATCAAAAAATTATACGTTGAAAAAGCTTTAACATGGCGAGATAGTGAAGCCCGCATTTAAACACATAATAGATACATTTTGTAATGAATTCAAGATTACAGAAACGCCAAGATCACCAGTAATATTTCAATCGGATAAACATCGAACTGAATTGTCCCTATAATGTCGAAGGATGGCAAAAATTATGAACATTGGAGAGCGAAAGTGCATGACTATTAACATATGAACTTGAATCGAATTCACAAACTGCAGATAGACCGAGGTGTATTAATGAATGCATTATTATTATGTATGATGCAAAAGATGCACATCTGTAGTTATTACCTCATTTTTTCCAACGAAAAAAAAAACAAAAAAATCATCAAGACTATATAAGTGAAAATCATTTAGTTTTTATACTAAACAAATCATGGCAGCCTAATCTCTGGAACATAAATAATCTCTAGTAATTTGAGTGACGTAACGGAAACATCCTTTACCGCTTCCGATTTGGGTTTAGAGTCTTGGTCACACTTCGACGGGGCGATTGGTCTGAGAGTATCGGAGGAAACAATCTTGTGCTGTCCAGTTGAAGTAACAGTGTGAACAAGTTTCTTCTTGGCAACAAATGGTTCCCTAGGATTAGGTAGCCTCGGAATTTCGGTTAGTGCAACTCTGGGAGATGCCACGTGTTCCGCATCTGCTGATATCTGCTTCACTTGTTCCAAAATTTCTCTCGTCACGGAACTGACTTCAGAACTGTTTCCTCCCTTTTCCCGAAACTCCTTCTCTCTTTGCGATTTTTTTCGTCTTTGAGTCTTCAGCTTCCGCTTCTAAACATATTCGAAACTGGCCCATAATAAACAAAACACCTAGCTGCACTGCAACTATCACATTATGTTCCGACGAAGCTTTGTTACTATCTTTTTTTAAGGAAAAACAGGGATCCTTCGTTCTTTCTGTGGATCATTTGAATTGGTGGAAAGATGGAACCTCGGAAAAAGCGTCGCAGTACTATCTCACGAATTGTTGAGCTGACCTTGATTTTGCGTTCTCTTTCTGCAATGCGATTGTGTTCGTGCTGTCTCCTCCAGAGTCGAAGAGTGTCCAGACTCAGATCCAGTCTGTCCGAGAGGGGCTTCAGACTCCCCCCTTCTGCCAGGAATCTGCCAACCTTCGCAAACAATCACGCAAATGTTGTGAATTCCTGTCACAATCTGCTCAGTTTCACATTTTGAAATTTTCTAAATTTCAAGCCATCTCAAAAAAACTCAGCTGGTAATTATATTTCGCATCTGCTCGGCAATATAACGAATGCATAATGTAACCAAGCGCCCAGTCAAGATTTTAAACTTTTGTACCCAGATTGTTTGCAAAAACTACTCACAGTGTCTGCTTAAAATGATAGCTGCTTTATATACCACTGTTTCATTATGTTATCTGATTTTGCGAAACAAAACTGACTCGAAAGTTACTCACCACTCCGTGGGCGGAAAAAAGAAAGAATACAACTCACGAACCTTCATCTGGAATGTTTGGGAGAACATTTCTGGTCGAAGCCTTGTCCTGGACTTGAGTGTTCCTAGTCGTATGGCCTCGCCAATTTCGGTCTCTTGCATCTGTCAACAATTCAACCAATTTCTTCATTTATACAGAGTAACACGAATAAATTTTTATGTTAACTTTGATAAGATTGTAGAACAGTGCCCAATGATAGGAAACATAGCCAGCAGACTGTTGGAAAACAGTCAATGAAGGCAAACAAACAGAAAAAAAACTGACTTGTTTGATTTTGGAAAAAAACTCAAATTTCGAACTTCGAAGAGAAAAAAATGGTTTCAAAACTTTTTCCGAGTTTCCAGAACAATTTTTTTCCCGGTTCATTTGATGAATTTTAAATGACTGATACTTTAAAGTTACGATTGGCATATCAAATTTATGATTGACTCTTTTCTTATAAAATAACCTCAACTTTAGAAAACTGGATTGAAACCAAAATTTTTTTATTTCAATGGGAAATCTGATAACTCGTTTTAAAAATTAGAACCCAACTTAGAAAAAAAAGTCAAAAATCAAACCACGATAAAATAAATTTGAGCCTGAAAAAATGACCGAAGACTTTTCTGGAAAAAAAACTAAAACCATCACAACCTATATGGAGTCTTAACTACGTTCACTGAATCTTATAAAATCACCACGACCTATAAAAACAATGAATACGTTAATTGAATCTTAACAAAATGAACCCAAGCTTGGTAATCGCAAGCGTAATCATCTAATAACCTAATGTTAAACAGAATAAAACAATATTCGCTAGATAAAATAGAATTTATTCCACGTTATCTTTCAATAGGCTGCCACTGGAAACATTCCCTCGGAAGGCACATAAGGACGGAAAGTAAACCCTTATCTTATGACGATTGGTTACCGTCACAATTAGATCCTAGGTAATTTTCACCGTCTCCACTAAGCCACTTCGTAAATCCGGTCGATGAATTTAATTACAAGAAACATCAGGTCAACAAACGCGGATCATGAAGACGATAATATGAAAAGTTAAAAAGGCAAAAAAAATGCATGCGTTTTTCACGACCCAGATATTTTGATTTCCATTCGAATTACTGAAAGGGCTTCAATATGATATATCAATCGACAAAAAAAATACCAAGAAGCAGAAAAGAAAAAATTTTAAAATCAGATAGAATTGTTACGCAGGAGTTTTTTGAGAAGTGAGGATGCAATTTCAGAAATTCAGAAGCAGATAGATTTCAGAAGCAGATTGATTCAAAGTTCTTCAACGCCTTCGGAGCAAGAATGAAATAAATATTCATGTTGTAGAAACACGGAAACAAAATTCCTAGTATGACTTATTTTTTAATCCCAATTTTTTTCATGGAATCCGTATCACAACTTAAAGAGCTATAGTATGATACCTCACTTCACCACATACGAGCTTCTTTTGACTAAATCAAAATAAATGATCAGAAAAAAAAAGGTTTTCACAATGGCCTATTCTTTGAAAACACTAGACAACCCAATAACAACTTTTTTGATTGTGAAAGAAGTTGAAGGCGACAATTGAAAAAAATTCAAATACCGAAGAAAAACCTATAACTGCACTAGGGTTGAATGATAATTTCGTCACAATTGGTCCAGAGTTGTCATCTGGATTTCAAAACAAAGAGTGATGTTTCCAAAAATATTGCAAATATAAAAATCTTCCTGTCACAAATTGATGAACAAGAAGTTTATGACACAATAATGCTCATTTGACTAGTATTTTTAACCAGATAATTAGCAAATCAGAATATCTCAGTTTTCTTAAAACAGCAAAAGTAAACTCTATTTTCGAAGAAGGACACAAGTCACTTCCATGCAATTATATACCTATTTATTTAGTTCCTGTTATATGAAAAGTTTTTGAAAAACTATTATCGAAAAAATAATAATTATTTTTTTTTCAATAATTTTGACATCTTAAGCAATAAACAGTTTCGATTTCGCAATAAACACTCTACAATTGATACTATTGTGCAAACTTTAGAGATTCTTATTGAAAGCAGAAATACTGATAAATTGGCGCACTGCACACTCTTAGATATATCTAAAGCTTTCGATACTGTTGATCAAAACACTCTTATTCACAAGAGTCACTTTGTCAGGCTAAGAAGCGTTCTCTTAATTAACTGAAATCCTACCTCAGCAATAGAAACCAGTATGTCTTTCGTTTAAACAATTGTTCAACAACAAAGAAACTTCATTGTGGGGTACCTCAAGGTTCTGTTTTGGGTCCCCTGCTTTTTCTTATTTATATCAATGATCTTCCCAACATACCACAGAACTGTGAATGTATTGTTTATGCGGTTGACACCAATATTTTTTGGAACACTCAACGAAACTATAGAACTTGAACAGAAATACAATTAATGTCAGAATGGATGAAGTGAATGAAAAATAATAAACTTGCAACAACAAAAAACACAATTAATGATTACCGATGGAATAAAAAATTTCTGAATAATTTACCTGGAACCGAAATACAATAGAACTAAAAATTGTTGTTAAAAACCTGGGAATAATTTTGGATCAAAATGTTACCTTCAACCAACATATTGAATCAGTAAGAAAAAAGCTATCAATTCATGGCCATTTTTATCAAACAAGACAGTTTCTCAGCTCACCTATTCCTATTAGAACTTACAAGCGGTGGATACAACCAATATATCAAAATGATATATTGGTATACGGAGTTGGCAATGAACCGTTTTGAAAAAAAAAACCTTGCAAGTACAGCAATTTTTTTAAATCCGAATTGTGTTTCGCCTAAAAAAACACAAGAACTAAGGACAATAAGAAAAACGCAGGGAATTTGTTCAATCAATGAATTACACGTATACGAACTGCTGAAAACATTCTATAAAGTAAAAAGACGAAAACATGACAAAGTGAACAACTTTATTTCAAAACAAGAATTAGACAAATCACTCGATACCACTAGAAAAATAAAATCACTAACAAAAAAAACGAACACGAAAAAACAAAAAATTAATATCTGTGCAAATATGGACACTATCAAATTCTCGAGTTAATTTCAATTAACTCGAGAATTTGATAGTGTCCATATTTGCACAGATATTAATTTTTTGTTTTTTCGTGTTCGTTTTTTTGTTGTTAGTGATTTTATTTATCACTAATAATATCATTAAAAATTTTTTAATTGATCCTAAACAGTCTGTAGACAACCTTATGCATAAAATCAGAGATACTTATTTAATTGATTGCGGCTAGTTCAACAAATTGTTTTGATAAAAAAGTATTTAAAATTAATTTTTAAAACTTTTGAACCATAAAGCGTACACCTGAAAAACAAACATCGTATTGATTGAAATAAAGCAAATAAAAAAAATATAAAAGTGAAAACTGTTTTCAAGTCTAGAAACTGTTTTTTTTGCTACTTTTCCTTGCTCGTAAATTTTTCTTGAAAAGATAGATTTTCTTTGTTTTTTTTTCTTAAAATCTATTATGGTTTTTTCTGGATAAATGTCACTAAGATTAAACAATCAGGTTCAAATAAGATAGTACTTAACAGAACGTTCTCAGCGGCGCTTTAACAGGTTGAATTACCTTCTGCGCTTGCTCAGTTTGGTGCTCTTTCAATGATAAGTACTCTATATTGTGGGATTATTGCACTACTTGAAACAAATTTGTTATTATGATTATTAAAAAAAGACACTATGCCATAGTTCCTGTGGGTCTGTTGTAATTCACTCAATGGTATTAATTTATCTTCAGTAACTACAACTTGATCTTCCCGAACATCAAATTTCGCTTTTTTTCTGATGGGGCAAACCAAATGGCATAATACACTCAGCAAAATTTTATACAAAAATGCGCTCAGAATACTCTCATTTATTTGTGAAACGCGTCATTTGACATACTATTTTAATGTGAGCTCAATTATAGAATTTATCGCTCAATCAGTATGTCGGGCAACAGAAATAAATGAAATATACCAACTGATTCGTTTTTGGAAGTAAATTAGATGTAAGGCAGCGACACGTTTTTGATTTTAAAAAATCGAGTTTGTAACAATGTCCCTTCTGATGAGCAGAGTAACCACTGGGATTCAACCATAAAATCCATAAAACTTTCAATAAATTCATCCAAGTTATAACTTCACTTACAACTATTAATACTCTTATTTGGAAAAGATAGTTGACGGTTGACGATATCAGCTAGAGATGTGCGGTGCATTGAAAATACCAATGCATCAAACTGATTGTGCATAATTGAATTGAACTGAGGTTAAGTCGAGAAAACTCATTTGTTCTCTAGAAATTAGATTGCTCCATTTTTTTTACCTGAAAAGATATGCTTCAGACAAACTAAATTGACAAACACTTGGCCAGGAAGCTTTTGCAGTTTGAAAAACATTGATAAACTGCTTAATGATCTCTTTAATGAAAAGAAAATTAACCAATTTGAGGTCTTCCATGGAAGCTTCTAGAATGTTCTCGTATCCATCAGAAGAAGTCTCGTCATCTCCCTCGTCTCCTTTCCCATCGTCATCCTCTTCCTTCTCTTTCTCTTTCTCCTGTTCTTTCTCCCCTATGTCCGAGGACTCTTCCTCTGATGAATATGTTTTCTGAAGAGCTGCTTTATAAGACGACGAGCGTTTAGTTTCTCTTTTTCGCTGTGACCAACGAGTCCTTTCCTGAACAATAAGTTGATCTATCATAAATAAATCCGCCCATTCCTATAATTCGCCATCTTAGCTTGGGATTTTGGCAAAGCATAAGAAAGTTCGCTTTTTCGTCCCTGTAAGCCACGCAATACTACAAATGCTGCTTTTGATAAGCTATTTGACTTGCAAGCTTACCTGTTTTTCTTAACTGAGTTTTTGGCGCTCAACAATATAGCATCCTAACTTCTCGAAACATAGCCAACAGACTGTCTTTCGAATAAACAAAAGATGGCCTTAGAGTTCTTTGAGTTTCTAGAAAAAAAAATGATTAACACTTTTTCTGATAAAATTAACCCAATTTGAGAAAACATGATCAAAAGGTAAACTTTTTAGTTCGCTGGGAAATTTGAAAATTAAATACCATTTTCGAACTAGAAGTCGGTCACGTTTTTCGTGATCTTTACAAATTTGCTGTTCGATAGTGGGCTTTGCCTTCCTTTTAACAAAGAAAATGAATTGAACCTAAAAAGAAATCTTGACATATACTACGTTCATTGACACATAACAACTCAGCAGACAACTACTAAGCCAAAATATGGTTTATTTTGGGATTTGCAAATATAGACGAGATTCTGGACTGCGTATCATTAAACATAGCCAATTGAAGATAGGAAAAGAGTAATGAGCGCAAGTAAACATAAAAAAAACGCTGACTATCTTGAAAAAATCGCAACTTTCGGATTTCGAAGAAAAAAATAGATGCTCTTTGAAATTCTAGAACAATTTATGAGTGGCGCTTTTTTGATAACATGAACCCAACTTGAGAAAACTGGATCAATATGTAAAGTTTTTATTCCGCTGGGAAATCTTTAAAATAAATTCCACTTTCGAAATCGTTCACCAATTTTCGCGCCATTTGCACGTTAGTATTTGGAGACTGCTATTTACGCCACTTTCAGTAGATGAATTTCATTTGCACTCAGAAAGTGCATTATACCTAAGTGCATCAATATTTCAAGACTTCCTGGAAAAAAATCATCAAGACTTATATAAGAGTCTTCACTACGTTCATTACTCTTAACAGCAATTCAATCAGATTTCCAAAGTTATGTCTTTTCTGCTTTTTGGGAAAGAGGTCGTCTGGACGTGTATTTCTCGCTGTAGCTCAAGATGCTTTCATATACTTAGTACATGACAGATACTCACTTTGGCATTGATTGTTCGCTGTGCATAGTGATTGGGGCTGAACTCTGTGTCTGAACTGCTACTGGTGCTGCTAGAAACCGCCCTCACCCTCCTCCTCTGTCTTTCTTTCGATTCCGTCACAGCTTCTCTTAAAATATACTCCGAATAAAATTGCTTTCATAAGTTTGAGAGACATTTTCAAGCATTTTTGCGAAGCTTATTTTTTCGAAGCATCTCTTTCAGAGTCAATTTGAGCAGGATGAAAAAAACTGATTCTTATATGTGATATTCATGATGGACAAAGCATTAGAGTATGCAACGAAAATATTTGTTCAGCAGTAGAAAAGAGTCTTGATTTTTGACACAGAGGCGAAGCTTCGCTTCGCAAATACTAGCGAGAACACGACACAAAGCAGCTCTATGAAGTGCAATAGAACATAGATCTAAGCCTCAAATTAGTAAAGAAAAAATCGGCTACACCTGCGATTCGAACCTGCGACCTAGAGATAAAGAGTCTCACACCATAACCACGGACGCTTAATCGGCACCAAACACAAGCCACGAAGAAAGCAGAGAACAGATGTTATGCAATTTCCAATGCTAAAGTGAAATTTCCAAATAAGTGAACACTTCTAATGAACACTTTTATTTGCGAGTAAGGTTACAAAAAGAAGGGTCGTAATAATACATTAGGCTAATCGCTTGTGTAAAGAGGTTACTTCTGACAATGATTGCCATGTTCAATTTTACAAAAAAAAACACTGTCTTAGCAGGGAAAAACAAATCGCGGTCAGTACAGTGTGTTTTACCTGTTGGATGGTTGCGCTAAAGGAGTCACTACTACCTTGTCGTCCGTTTTCACTTGTGGCTTCGCAACCTGCAATCAGAATAGAATGAAGCACTGAATAGAAAAGCTCAGGCCAAAAACCATAATTTTCCAGAATGAGGCAAAAGACCATTAAGTTTTAATTAAGCCAAAAGACTTATTTTCAGATTTCGCCAAGTCACAAAATTTCTTAAACTCTGTATCAAATGTCGTTTTGTAAATTGAATGAACCTGTGACACATTAAGGATTTTCTCGTAGTCTGAAGGTGAACTTTTTTAGGTTTTAGGTCTACTTAATTGATTTTCCGAGCTCCTCACAAACACTATGAAGACAGTATTAAATCATAACTTTCTGTGCCCTAATTAGGAAAAAACTATAAGGAAAAAAACATCAACTGTATATTCAGGTATTTAAAAGAAACCGATCGTTAATATCAGCCAACTTAAATAGTTTTCGTTTTATGTTTCGGAAGTTTCTCTTATGCCCAATTATCCGAATGCGATTTCTCCTGGGTCAAGTGGATCAAAGGAAAAACCTTGCTCTGATCTGATCTCGACCAGCAAAAGGAAACTCACAGCTGAGAGTCTTTTGATCTTGTTATTCATCTTGCTGTTCTGTTCTTCTTTTAGAGCCTTCATCACGTCATCGATTCTGAGAATAGCACACACTCTGTCACTAACACAGCTGTGTATAGGCAGTGGATAACACAGAGCTTCCACTTCACTTATCCTGTTCGGTTTCACCTAATCACATTCTTTTCTAATGATTGAGTCCAAAATTAGAAGATCATAGCCACTAGTTAAACACAGGCAGCCAAACGATCAGTAACTAATTCGCTGTCAGTAGCATAGAGCTATCTGACAACAATTTTGTTCAGACTACTCATTGAATGGGAGGAACCATGTTTTTTTTCACTTACTTCAGGTACCTCAAGTCAATTTTGGATGAATCGATTGTGTAATAACGTCAAAGCCCTTTCCGTCTTGATTTGGGTTCGAAAAATATTTCACACAGTTGCTTCTCAGACGAGAAAAATTGGTCTGGATGCTTTTAACCATTTTTAGCATACAAATATTTTATTTATATTTTTACATCGTTTAAATGGTTCACAAACATACGTTAAAAGCATACTACAACCTGCGCATCAATCAATGCATTTTAGAAAACGAATTTTGTTGTTACTTCTAAAAAAAAATTCGGCAATGATTACAGTAATCTGAACATTATCTGCTACTTGCAGACCATTTAGCTGCCTTTCATTATTTTATTTTACTTTATTTAGCTCGGAGATTTTCCGGTGACATATAAAAGGCCCATTCAATGCGAAGCTTGCAGAATATGTAGTTTACAAAAATAAACTATTGATCACATGCAGGGGCGGATCTAGGATTTTCTCCAGGGGGAGGCGGATTTTCGAAAAAATTTCGGTCGACCAAATTGAATTTCCCAGCTCTCCCAAAGCAGTAAACAGACCCTGTTTTGACCAAAATTTCTGCGCCGAAGGCAAAAATTGGAAAATTGATAAAGTCGGTTTCCCTGCGTTCATTGACTCTTTTCCAACTTCAAAGTATTTCAATTTTCCAATTTCAAAGTAAAAAATATGTTGCTTTAAAGCTCTTTCATTTTCAAGAACAATTTTATCTTTCTTCGGTTCATTTGATGAATTACAAATGCATCAACTGTGCTAACATATTAATAATCAAACGTCAACGCACATGCCATTACACAGCCAATCCAGCCTTCTGCTGAAAAATGCCACCAAAAAAACCACTGAAATTTTCGACTTAGGAAAAAAAGTAGCCTAGTAGTATCACAATAAACTTCGCATGTAAAATCAGAATTATACATTTGAAGACATAGATTCGAAATTTCTTTAAAAAATCTTCAACTAATTAGAAAAATAAGTTTTTTTTTCATTCATACTTTGAGCACAACTTTAGAAGATTATGATTAGTTTGCTGAAACTCGAGCTTTGTTCTTTCTCCTCATCCTATCGCACAACAAAAAAAACCAACACATTTGAAAAAGAAAGAAAAGTTAAAATCGGCATTTTCTGTGCTACTTGCACAGCAACCGGCTACTTGTTTATTTATGGCATACATCGAAATAATAAAATGACGATTACTTTTAACTTCGAACTATTTTCTAAACAGGACCTATTTGGCTTTAATTTACCTCCTCTCCCATGGGCGATGGCTGTTCCCCTACGTCGTATTTGATATAGAGATATGGTGCTATGAGAGACTTGTATGCCTGACAGTTCCTGAAATTACAGAAAAATTGAATCTTTTCAGATAGTATACTTGCCCAGAATGCTCAAATTTGGGCAAAACAAAATTCTTGGAAAAAGTTTCACACAACCGAAGCTGCACTTTGCGAACATAAGAGAGAAACTGGCAAAACGTAGCTCTAAAAAGCAAAAAATGAGATAAGGAGTCCTTAACATCCTCGCATCTACTCCATGGTCACTTAAAAAATTCAAACACTAGCTACCAATAAATTCGATACAAAGCCAAGGCTATTGAATTGCCAATGCTATGATCACTATTCTAAGCGAGTTGGGTTATAAAAAAAAACTGATTCGCAGTATAACACCACGCTCTCTTGTGTAATCATAACAGTATAGATTAACCAAATATGATAGGATAAAAAGCAACAGCATAATATATTGTTTCTATATGATAAAAGAAAGATAAAAAAGATATGATAAAAGATGAATGAAGTCGAAAAATTGGACTCACTGTATTTGTTCGCATGTGATTTCACACTTGTTGAAGTCGTCCACCTTCATTCTGATGAGATTCCACACTTCCGAGTCCCTCCCAAGGCTAGACTGTTTGCAGCTGAAGCAACTGCTGCATCGCTCCCGCTTGCAGAACTACAAAAGAATCGCAGAGATATAGCCAAAAATTATAATAGCCAATCACGAATTAAATAAAAAAATTCGAAGAAAATAAGCGAAAAAATCAGCCAGGCTCGATTTGTTTAAAAAGCGTTGATTATAGAAAAATTTCGAGCGTTCAATCCTTCAGGCCTGCAGTAGCGGCTCAAACTTTGAAAAATGCAGACTATATTGTACAACTACCAACCAGCAGCGTGCCGAAGGAGGGGCGGGGGTAGGCAAACGCGACCCCCCCCCCCCCCCACCTCGATTCTGGTTGCCAAATGTTTCCAAAGGTTCATCCCTTTGGTATATTTTTACGAGATCAATTTTTGGCTGGCCAACATCAAAAATATTTTATAGGCGCCCTTGGCGCCAATAGAACTAAATTTGACAGGGAAGCGCACGCCGACAAAACGCAACTTTTTGGTTCTATTTTTTTTTTTTGAAAAATTCTCAAAACGTCAAAATAGGATTTTGACAATGAGTCCTTATATTATTTTCGGAGAGCCCGAAAAATCAAATTAGTTGACCTAAAACCACCACCCTAGAAAAATTTCTGCGCACGCCACTGCTGTAACTTCTACCAACTAACAAGTTCACCAATTTTTTTTTATATTACGTAGATTACAAAAAAAATTGCTCATTCATCTGAGATAGAAAAAAATAAATCAACTGATTTTTCAAAAATATAAAATCAAGATAGTAATGATGAAAAACTTACTGAGCATAGTCCACAGACATCTAAACAAATGTATCAGGTTAAAAAAAACACAGTTTTATCGATCAAAAATTGCTAGAAAGCTGCCATTACTTACACTTTTTGTTTTTGGTAACTGAAGATTCGCCATCTAAACATCACACCAAACTTGACCAAGAAATAAAATCAACAGCTTCGATAAACTACATTCATTTCAGTGTCATATGCAAGTATACAAAGACGAAAAAAAACGGAAACAAGATTCTTGAAATAAGTCGGAGACAATTCTGATTAAAAAACCTGGAAATTCTTCCTCCATCTTGTGGCAGCTAATGAAACCATTTGCAACCTGTGGCAGATAATGAAACCATTTGCAACCTGTGGCAGCTACTGAAACCTTATAGCAGGCAAAAAAACGGTCTGGAACAAACATAGATATTCAAAAAATTTCGTAAGTCCGGGTAAGCTGTACAAGAAATGGATACGCAAAAAATAGATACTAGCACCGATTTAAAGATAATGAAGACTATGTGCTACTAAAATAGAGTGGTCCCTCGAAAAAAACCATGATAGACAGGTCTCGCATGCATTTCGCATGTAATAATTTGAAAACAAATTTTTAAACACAGAGGCGAAGCTGAGCTTCGCACCAATTGCGATACAACACCAACATAAAAAAAAATAAAAAGCCGAAAATTGAAGTTTTTGAAAAAAATTGGGTCATATTAACTTTCATAGGTCTCGATAGAAGTTCATTCCAGGCAAAAATGCCAGATACTTGAATTTTAAATCAGCAACAACGAAACAAAATTGACGAAAAGAAACCAAGCCGGCAACCTTTGAGCAGACAAAAGTTGAGGCGAAAAAAAACATGATTTCATAAAAAAAAATGTTTCGAGTCCCACCTTAAACAACAATGGACAACAATTGCCAGTGCAACTACAATGAAAGTTGTGTACACACAAGAAAAAATTGGTGATGTGGCAACTAAGCCAACAATCTTTGAGCTGAAACCACTTGAACCTAAAAAAAATTTCTCGATTTTTTTTAAAATCTTTCAAGTCCCTCTTGAAACTAGAATGAACAGCACTTGCAACTACAATGGAAGTTGCTTGAAGCAAAAAAAACAGTGATGAGGCAAATTCCGTTGTGGTAATATAGCCGACAAAACCTGACCGAACAAACGAAAAAGCAACCATTCAATTTTCCAATTTTCTCGGAATTTTTTTTTCAATTTCCTTTATACTGAAAAAAAAAATCCGTCCAGGACCCGAACCTCAGAACTTAGGGTACAAAGGCAACTGCTTTACCTCAGGCCATGGGGGAAGCAACCGGGAACATGCTAAGAGAAGGTAAGAAGAGAAGTGAAAATAAGAAGAGTCGTGAAAAGAAGTGATTCAACTGATTCTGTTAAGCTAGTTGTTAACCCGAAAAAAAGTCTTTATTCCAGTTTGATAACGTTAGCGTTCATTTGAAAAATCTTGAGAAATGCTGAGTCAGTAAACTTTTCAGATAAACAATGTAATTCTTATCAGGACGCCACCTCTCACCTGAGGGATTCGACCCCTTCACCAACTATCCAATTTTGGCTGAACAACCTCAAATTTTTTAAAGGCGCCAATATGTACTAATTTCGAAGTGGAGCGCCCTCCAAAAAAAACTCAACTTTTTGGTGAAAGTTTTCATAAATCATAGAAACCGCTTTTTTACTTGAAACTTTTTCAAAAACTTGCCCGCGGCTCAAATTTTTTGTCAGAATACGGTCTTTATAGTGTTCTGAGATCGCCCGAAAATTCTATTTGGTCGACTTAAAAATAAGCTCGCTTCAATTTATTTTGAGATTCAAAAAAATAATTGGGTTAACTTATTTGTCATCAATTTCAATTTTGCGAAAATATTGCTTGAAAATATACTGCGATCTCTTTCTCAATAGCGAAATTGTAACTATTAAACGATTTGAGAGCTCTAAGTTTCTTGTTCTCAAGAGACCTGGCTATTTTCAAGGGACACTCTATCATATTAGTAAAGAAGATTAACGCGGATCTTAAGCCACCTTTTTTAAATTTCCAGCACAAACCAACAACAATAACAGTAGCCAAAAAAGAACATAGCCAATCGAAGATTGAAAAAGCAGTGAACGCAAGTAAACATAAAAAACACTTTGTTCAAAAAATCGCATTTTTCGAACTTCATAGAAACAGAAGATGCTCTTTAAGCTCTTTTAAATTGTAGAACAATTTAATATGGGCGCTTTTTTGATAACAATAACCCAACTAGAGAAAATTTGATTAATAGGTTAAGTTTTTATTCCGCTGGAAGTCTAAAAATTAAAGTCCTTTCAAAACTAGAAACAAATCACGTTTTTTGCGCCGATTCCACGGTCGTATTTGGAGAATGCTATTTACGTCACATTCAGCAGATGAATTTCAATTAAACTCAAAAAGTGCATATATACTTAAGTGCATTCATAAATGCATCAATATGTATGAATGCACATCTGTAGTTTTTAGAGCTTTTAAGGATTTTTTTCTGAAGTCCCCAAGACCTATATAAGAGTCTTCACTACGTTAATTACCCTTAAAAAATTAAATTACAAACTGCAGCAACAGGTCGAAGTCTCTGCCAGAAGGGATCTTATGCAATCATCTTAAAAATCAGACTATCAACATTAACGTTCAGATTTTAGCAGTAAATAATGGCAGAGAAAGGGTTACGTAGCAAAAAGAAGACACGTCAAAAAACTACACAAATACTATATCAACAATTCAGAACCGAGAACAGAAAGCAAACTTAGGAAACAACTTATATATTACCATTAATTTTTAAGTTTGATCTGTTCTCAATTCGGTGAATGACAAGGAAACGGAACTGATCTAGGGGTAATTATTGTTCCCACCGCAAAAAGTACGAATTATCAAGCAATGACAATCCAAACATAGCCAATCGAAGATTGGAAAAGAGTAATGAAGACAAGTAAACATAAAAAACATAGCCAATCGAAGATGGGTAAAGAGTAATGAATGCAAGTGAACATGAAAAAAAACACTGACTTTGTTGAAAAAATCTCAACTTTCGAATTTCAAAGAAAAAAATAGATGCTCTTTGAAATTCTAGAACAATTTATGATTGGCGCTTTTTTGATAACATGAACCCATTTTGAGAAAACTGGATCAATAGGTACAGTTTTATTCTGCTGGGAAATCTTAATAAATAAATTCCACTTTCGAAACTAGAAATCGTTCACCAACTTTCGCGCCATTTGCACGATTGTATTTGGAGACTGCTATTTACGTCCTTTTCAACAGAAACAAATGAACTTCATTTGAACTCAAAAAGTGCATTAAACCTAAGTGCATCAACATTTTGATTGTTTCCCGAAAAAAAAAACAATAAAATCAGCAAGACCCATATAACTACGTTCATTATTCTTAATAAACGTAGATAATTAAAACCAATCGATAATATCGTGTATTGAAAATCGCTAGCTGGCTGGCAAGTAAATGATGGATCTCGAAATAGGCAAGCCGATGACACGCATCGTTTGTATATGCAATTTTTTATTTGTTATTTACATAGAAGAAATTATACGCACCTATTAGTTCTTTAACAAAAAAAATCGGTAGAACTCAAATTTGAGCGCAATTTTCCTGAAAGAAAATCATCACGACCTATATCATTGACACATACTACGTTCATTGACACATAAAAACTCAGCAGACAACCACTAAGCCAAAAAAAATGATTTATTTGCAAATATAGACGAGGTTCTGGACATTGCCAACCCAACATACAAATAGAAAACGTCAATGAACTCAAAAAACAGAAAACAATGATTGAATTTTATCACGACCTATATCATTGACACATACTACGTTCATTGACACATAAAAACTCAGCAGACAACCAATAAGCAAAAAAATGGTTTATTTGCAAATATAGACGAGGTTCTGGACATTGCCTACCCAATATACAAATAGAAAACGTCAATGAACTCAAAAAACAGAAAACAATGATTGAATTTTACCAAAGAACCATAATACCAAAGAACTTTGGGATTTGCACATATAGACGAGGTTCTGGACTGCGTATCATTAAACATAGCCTACCCAACATACAAATAAAAAACGTCAAAGAACTCAAAAAAAAAAAACGATGATTGAATTTTACCAAAAAAAACCTGATTAATTTTGAATGAAACAAAAAAGCCTCAAGGTCCTTGGAAGTTCGAGATTATTTTTATGATTGACACTTCGCTAAAAATAACCTTTAAGAAAACTGGTTCAATCGGTAAAAATTTTTATCGGATCAATTGTACAAAATCTCCCTAGCCAAATCAATTTAGGGGGTGACAAAATAAAGACTTATGAGAGAAAAAGGATTGAAAATATAATGATTCAGGTAATAAACAGCATTCAAATGCAATCCATCATTAAAATTTTGAAAACCATTTCTGTTTGAGCATTTATTCGAAATGCATACTTTTTACAGAATTAATTTTCGAAATTGTTAAATGGCTAGGGGGACATTTTACGGTTAGCCACCCGAGGGAAGGTGATATTGACACAGAAGCGAAGCTTAGCTTCGCAAACACAAGCGAGAACGCGACAAAAAGCAGCTTTTAAAAGTAAGATAAGAAAAATATAAATAAGCCTTGAATTAGCAAAAAAAAATCAGTTACGGCTGAGATTCAAATCTGCGACCTAGAGATTAAGAGTCACACAAACTAACCACTCAGCCACGGAAGCTTATTAGTTTATAGAAGATAGAAGATTAGTCACTATTCACAAATAAAGCAGAGAGCAGATGCTATGCAATTTCCAATGCTACATTGAAATTTCCAAATAAGTGAACACTTTTAATGAACTCTTTTATTTGCGAGTTAGGCTAGAAAAAAAGAAGGTTCCTAAATACACACTAAGCCGACGCTAGTGTAAACAGACGATTGATCCTTTTTATCTACAGGAATTCCTAAAATTAAAATCCACTTCTGAAACCAAAACTAATTCATATTGTTTCGAGCCATTTCAGTTAAGTTTTTATCAAAGAGCGTGATAGGTCTTCCATTTGTCAAATTAAAATAAAATAGATTTTGAAAAAACGAAAAGTCAAAGGGGTAAAATGAAACAAATTTGACCGTGAACAACTTTCCTCGAAACAAAAAACCACAACAAAAAAGTAACTTCAATTTGTTCATTGGAGCTTAGCACTTAAGCGGTTGGCGTACCAACATCCAGAATTCGGATCTTGTTAACTATCCCCCATTTCAATTTTCAGAAATTCAACTTTAAATGGCTTAAAACAGTTTTCAGAAAATATATTTAATTTAAATTTTTTATGCAGGTATTATATAAATAGTGAGTAATGCAAAAACGAACGCGCGAAAACGAAAACCCAATTACTTTTTCACATTTTTGAAATGCATATTTCATACAGAAATGGTTGTCAAAAATAATACATGCATAGGTAGGGAAATAGTTAACAAGGTCCAAAAGGGGCAGGGGAAATAGTTAACAAGATCCCAGAATTCTTTAGGGAAAGTATATTAGTTCAGCACGCTTGCTATTTCATGTTTATACACTGAGAAGCTGCAATCGCTAACAAGCGAGAAAACGGCAACGAGAGCTTTAAAATGCACAAAAACAAATTTTCCGCTAAGCGCTGAACGCACGTTTTGACGCGTACATAAATTTTGTATGTAAAATTTGGTGCGTAATAAAATGAAGCCATCCACGCCAAAAATTGCGCGTAACTAAATGAAATGCATAAAACCAAATTGAGTTTAAATATGCATTTCAAAATCTCGTGAAATACAATGATTTGAAAATTTCTGAAATGGAATTTTTATTACTATTTTGTTGTTTGAAGCACATAGCTTCTGTTAGTGCATTTATTAATCAAAAAGCGTCAAATAGGTCAAGTTATTGGGAATCAAATTCAAATTTCACATGCTATTTAATTGCCATGTTAAATTGCTGATGCTCCCTGCTTCAAATGTGCCAACAAATATAGCACTAATACTTGCAAGTGAAGTTGCTTCGCATTATAACACTACGCTCCGATTGTGTAATTGACTTATTTGCATACAAAAATTTCGAAAAAAAACGAGATTCTCAATATAAATGGGAAACGACTTACCAGGTGCAATGTGAACAAACACAATCATCTTTCTTCTGTTATTTTCCCTGTCTGGTGATTGAGTGTTATCCGCTGCGACTAAAGGTCCAACTGCTGACAAATATCAACGTTCAAGGGTGACCAAAAGACAACAAATAATTATCGGCTTTATCTCAACCTTAAAATAAAAAACCTATAAGGAGGTTAACAATCTATCACTTAAGTACGGGTATTTTCAACCTCAGAATATGATCAATTGCTCGCAAGAAATCGAGCCAACAAAAAAGAATAAAATTATTGTTCAAGTTCCGACGAAGTGACTGGAAAGTACTGTCTTAGAAATGGATTTTTTCCGGCCGAAATTAGATACTTCAGAAAAACTCGTGGGATTAAAAATGATATCATATTAAAACCATATTTGTCGTGGCTTGGATTACGAAAAAAAAACAACAAGAAAATGGTTCCGGAATCGAGAAAAACTGATCTGAATAAATCTACTCCGACCAATTAGAACAATGTTGGCCTGAACTTTTGTAGAAAAACAAACTTGCTTCTATCATTAGTTAAACTGCTATTAATTATTTTCTGGAAAAAATTTATTAGTTTTTTTTTCAATTTTTTGCTAAGATGAATGTAGCTGGAATATACTGGAGAAAAAAAGTAACGCAACCAAACAATTAGTAGGATTTTTTGAATTTCCCTGAAGAAGGCCTTCAAACGTGAAATCTTTTCAAAATGTGTGTGAAAACAACAAGTTTGACCATAACTGAAACTGTTTGATCAAATATCGTTAGCAAAAAAAAATTAATTTTAAGCCATTGAGAACCCGATTCAGATAGGAGAAATTTGGAAAATTCGAACCAGATTCTACCAGTCAGTAGGTAAAATTTTCATTTGGATTTGGATTATTTGGTAATCAAAGTAAGTTTTTGTGCACCCTATTATAAAAAAAATGAAAAAGTGAAACTTACAGCTCCAAATCAAATTGTCAAAAAGGTAGATTTTCAGAAATGAAAATAGTGTTTCTGGATTCAGTTCACCTTTTTGTAGTTAGCTAGTTGCGTTACTTTTTTTGTCCAGTATATTGTGTTACTTGAACAGCCACAGGCTATCCTTAATATTTATTGTTTTTTGTCACTCTTTGATGAAGATTCTGGGCCATCTTTTGAATTGGAGTGGCTGGACGTGGATGTGCTACTCTTGCCATACTCGTGGTCTGTCATTGGCGTCTTGTGTGCACATCCACTACTCGCTGTTTCTATTATTTCCGTGGTCGCTTCTATTATATTCACACTGTTGATGCTACTATTGCAAGTGACGGCTTCAGGAGTAGTCTCGTCAGGTGCATTTAATTCCTCCACTTCGCATTCCATCAGTAGATCGGGTACCACATCATTTTCGACATTGTCTTTAAATTCATTTGATTTCGTCGATACTAGATAAAAAAAGCAATATAATCTTCCTAAAATCATCGAATTTTTTTTACACTAACACAGCCGAAGTAACCCTTTACAGAATACTAAAAACGAAACTTTGCTCGAAATTGAATGAGGAAACAAACATTTTATCAAAAGTTCGGTTAAATACATCCCTGCTGCTCCCGCCACTGAACACTCCCAAGAAGTTAACTGTTCAGATATTTCCGACAAAAACTGATACTCCACCACGCTTAGTTATACAAAGTAAAATAGTGCCATCAGGCAGATGGTAATTGAATCAAGGCAAAAAGCTATTGATTTCTAGAATTAAATTTCATCTTTAGTAAATCATTGAACACAAAACCCTCATTGAACACCATCGTCACGGAAACCCTCCACATACTCACTGTCTTGGGTTGCTTTTGACATAGAGAAAAACTGTTCATTGATTACAGAATAATATGCCTCCCATGAACCAGGCGAATTTTAAATTAAAAACAAACCGCCAGAACATCAATTTGAGCGTGAAAAATTATTGAAAATAACAATTTGGCAAACAGTTATTTGATAATAACTCCTTTCTGAAAAAAAAACAGGAGCCAATTTATCCAATGAAAAACTGCAATAGTTCAGATAGTTTTGCTGGAATAGCTTCAAACATCCAATAAATTTTTAGCCCTACAAATACTTATTTTCGGTAAAACTGAATTCACACGCCAAACCCATCAAAGAAAATGAACAGGCCAAAAACTAAACACTGTATCCCCCAAACGTGTCATTGATGCCCAGTTAATTTCAGGTAAGTGATTGACATTTAGAGGCAAACCCTATCTAGGGAAATTTTGAAGTTTCATAACCTAAGAAAAACTTCACGGGACTTGATCTTCTATTTTTTGCTGACAAACTAACCTTTTTTTACATCAACCTTTATATTAACATTACCTTTCATGACCAGTTTAAGTAGTATCAATAATACCTTACCAGGAGAAGTTACGACATTAACAGAGTCCGTATTCTGAAGTTTGCTACTGTCACTAGCTTTCAGTTCATTTAGAACATTCAGCTCAGCTATATCAACGAGTTCGCAAGTGTTTGAATTAGAACTATTCGAATCTTTTTCCTTGATTGATTCAATGGATTGGTGATCTTCAAGATCCTGTTGAAGCGCGGAAGTGTTTGTCCCATTTGATAGTTCAACAAAATTATCGGCATCTCTACTTTCCATTCTAATCTGCAAAAAATTAACAATCAAAAAAGGAAAAGGTTCAGCTTTATGTCATCCGTACACGACAACGAAATTGAAGGATTGATAATGTTTGACCTACAAGCGTAATTTTCTGGCTGATTGTTAGCCGGATTTGTTACTTACTTTTAAAAGTAATTTTGACAAATTTAACATCTCAGAGCAAATCTGAGACAAAGCAATTGCCTCCAGAAATGAATGATTCGTTTTGCTGATTTCCGACAGTAACCAAAAATATGACAACAGGAATACGATTGTCATATCATCCGATTGTTCAGCTATCGTGCGCCGCTTTGCGAAAACCTCTGAGTGGTCCAGGGATTCAATACTTTCTGGTACCAACTGGAGATGCAGCAAAGAGACGCTTTGTTATATAAACAAAGCCATTTGGGACAGAATTCTAAATTATGCAACCCCAGTTTGATCTCCATCATTTCAAAACACCAGGTAGAATGATCTCAAATTTCAACAAAAGTTTGCAATATGGATTGCAAATGGCGGCACTCGAATACGTTCAATTGAGCACCTTTATTGCTAAACAGAAATCTTGCGAATCAAAACACAATGCAATGCTGCTCAAACAATTCGTAGTCGAAGCTTATCAAAAACACAGTGCTGATCTCGTCACGACTCATTGAGCTGATCATTTATGAGCTAATAACCCAGAAAACTTAGCTTTCCCATTCAAGCTGACACAACAGAAAACCCTCTTTAGCTGAAAAACGTCTCCCAGGCATAAAACACCTCCTCGACGAAAAAATAACTGTCTCAACGCTTAATCACATGCTTGCTTTGAAAAATAATCAACAAACAGAAATATATAACCAGCCACCTGCAAATATTACAGGTTAAATTAATCCCGAGGTAGCGCAAGAAGAGGGTCGCCTTCCTTGTCGCACAAGATGCCTACTCAACTGCGCTGCAGATACAGCACCCACCTCATCAGCTACTTGCTGAGAATTATCACAAACATCTGCACTGTAGCTTGCTCAGAACAAATTAAGCTTTTAGTAAACCAATTCGATCTACGAAATTAATTGAAAAACTTCATAGTTTGTTTAAGAAAACTTAAAAACTTTTCGTGAACCGATTTGCTTCATAGAACAACTTGAAACACTTCAAAGTATCCTTGCATATCCTTCAAAGTATCCTTGCGTGGAAAGCTTGCAAAGGAAAAACTTTCACTTTTGGACAAACTATTCGATCTATGATTTAACTTTATCTATTGAATGGTTTCAATAGAAAAATTTGTACTTTGATCTTTAAAATATAAAACAGAAAACCTCCTTCTCCGGCCATACGAGGCGATTAAAATCTACTTTTCTTTCAAACAACGCCACTAAATGTGATTGAGACACATAACAGTAGTCGCAGCAATTCACGCCGAGCAGATTTCTACACAAAAAACCGAAATAAAAAAAAAGGAAATTATCCAAAATCAGGAATTGTTAACTTTAAAATTACAGTAATAAAAGAAAATGCCCGGATAATTTTTATGGATATTTGAAAAAATGAAAATGTTGGAAAAACAAGATGAAACACTATTTTCCGATGTCTCGATAAAAAATAACTAGAGGCCCAGCAGGCAGCATTTTGATCTTTTTGGAATATGTAATACTGATGCACGATAAATGGTTATTTACAAAAGATACTACCAACAGACAGTTGAAAAAGAGTCAATGAACGCAAGAAGAAAAAAATATGGATTTATCTCCGATAAATCTCAACTTTCGAATTTCAAAGACAAAAAGATGGCCTTAAAGCTCTTCGAATTTCAAGAACAAATTAGGGTTGACACTTCTTTGAGTAAGTTAACCCAATTTCAGAAAACTGGCGCAATAGGTAAAGATTTTTTTCCGGTGATAAACCTGAAAAAATACATTTAAAACTAGAATACGATCTCGTTTTTCGTGACTTTTGAATTTTTGCTGTTCGATACGGGAGTTTTCCCTCCTTTTAACAAAAGAAATTAACTGGACATTAAAAGAAAACAGTCTACAGACAAGTTGAAAAGAGTCAATTGTCTAGTTTTTTTTGAAAGATGAGAACTTCAATTTTCGAATTTCAAAGTGAAAGAAACACGGCCTTAAGGCTCTGAGTATCAAAAACAGTTTGTGAATGACACTTTCTTGATAAATTTAACTCAGTTTGAGAAAACTAGATCAGTAGGTAAAAAAAACTTTGTCAGCTGTTACACCTGAAAACTAAAATACACTTTCGAAGTTAGAATTTTGAATTGAATTGAACTCAAAAAGTGCATATATAACTAGGTGCAACCATAAAAGCATTATCATTTAAATGCACTTCTGTAAATATGAAAGCATTTCAAGACTTTTTCCAAAAAAAAAATAAACAAAAAACCACCAAGAGTTATATGAGTGTCTTCACTACGTTCATCAATTCTTTAAAAAACTTTTTCACAGAGGCAGAGCGGAGCTTCGCATCACTTGCCATACAACACAAACATTTGAAAAAAAACTTAAGCCGAAAAGAAAAAACACGGTCTATCAAAAGTTCATCAAAATTTCTTATGTCTCGATAACAGTTTATTCTAGGCAAACATGGCAAGCAAAACATTTGAATATTAAATTAGCAACTGAGCAAAATTTACAAAGCGGAAACAAAATCGACACTCTTTGTTGAGCAGACACCAGTTGAACCAAAAAAAATTTTTTAGTTTTTTTTAATCTTTCAACCCCCCATCCCCTAAAATACAATGAACAACACTTGTAACTATGATGAAAAATGCTTACAGCAAAAAAATCTGCGATGTGACAACTAAACCGACAAAAAATGAGCAGACAAACGAAAGTCCGACTGCCCAGTTTACTTTGGAAAATTTCAGTTTCATGCGATATAATTGCTAATGCTATGCAGCAAAAGTGCCAACTAATGAGCAATATAAAACTTCTCTCGATGTGGAATAACGCTAACAGCAAAACCACTCAATGACTCGAATAAATTAAATTTTGATATGGCATCGAATAAATTAGCTCACTACTTAGTGCACAGAGCATATTCTAAATTTTATAACATTACTTGAAAAATAAGGTCAAGAATCTCTTTGAAAGAACTCATTTATCATTTCTACTGTATAAAGTGTCTTCAACTTGGGCGAGTAACATAAATGAAGAAGTTCATTATGTCTGGCATGATTCTGGAGGAACTGTCGCTGGATGGCACCCCAGACAACTGACGTCATTGACTCTGGTCCGTCACTAGATAAGTTCTTAGCCACTCTGAGATAGAGAGCTCTGATTCCTTTCTCGACCTCTTTAGGAGTCGCTAGACTGAGTTGTCGCTTCATCTCTTGCACTGATAGGGATTGCATGAACCGAACGTTTTCCAAGTCTAGCCCGTCTTCTAGTCTGTCCTCAATTTCATCAAACAGAGCCTGAAAATTTTAGGATGAATTGGAAGAAAATTAGTTCAAAAATACATAGCAACATAAGCATTGAATAGGATAAACATTGAAAGGCAAGATTTTGCAATTTAGGGATGGTATTACGACGAAAATACCTTTTTAGCAATCTATATGCGCTTTGTATACTAATATTATCAAACGAATGTGGTTGCTTGGTTCATATTATATCAATTTACGTTTACTGATCTTGGTCCTTTCCCTCGTGACCATATGAGTGTTTCGGCTCTTAAAGGAGAGTTCCTCGAATCATTAATATCTATTTCGATGTGGGTTTATTGTTTACAATAAATCCTGGTTTCAATATAATGACTGTGACAACTTATCTCACTTCTGATGCTTGATATAAGACGTCAGAAATCTTAGTTTTGACCGTTTTCTAAAGCCCGATTTTCGTTAACACAATCCCTGACCTTGAGGTTTTGTATGGGTGCCCCTACATACGAGTCCACATACAGACTGAGGTTCTCCTGGTAGCACTTCTTCGTCTCCGCTGTCAAATCCGCAAACTCTGCGACCCGGATCCAACGAAGGAAGTCCTGCAGCACGTTGAAGTTCTCTGAATACAAAACAGATTATATTTCAGGATACTTCTTCCTCTATAAATTCTATAGAAATTAAGCCTGAGTCCATTACAAAATATTTAGTTTTTGAAATCGCACCACCAATTAAATTCCCAGACACTGCTTTGGTTAATTATATGAGCTGCCTAATTATCGGGACCCTTGCACAAGAACATGGGATCCCCCGAGAAAAAGAATCTCCTCATTTTGGATTTCGGAGAAATTGCAACGGACAGCGGAAAAACTTGTATTTTACTCCAAAGTCAAGTTAAATGCACTTTTATCCAAAAAAAAGTAAAAAAATAAACTCAAATTTTCCAACGATTGCATTTGTTTGAAAATTTTTCCTGTCAAGCAGTAGCTTTCGGTCATCTGTAAGTTACCAGCATCTGCAAACCACTCCACACCCCCTCCCGCTATTTTAACCTCTGATAATTGATTTCGAATTCAAATTTTTTAAATTCATTACCAGTCAAGAGAACAAAAATAAAATGTTCACACTCGGAAGCAGCCATACAGTTCCGTCACAAATTTTCACGAGGACAGTTCAACATCAGAAAACACTTCCTTCTATGCTGAACCGAACAACTAACTGACCTAGTTTGATGACTTCGGCGGGTGACCTGTCGTCCGGCTGCACCTGATTGAGTCTACCAATTAGAACGTGGAGCAACCTGTGTAGTTTGTTAAACATGGCCCCACTGTCTGCACAATTCTCAAACATGTCCCTAGTAGCTCTGCTGAATTCCTACACAATATACGGCAACATTACGCAGAAAATATACGGCTTGAGCCTGAATTCCCTGCACTGTATGAATAGCATTGTCAATTTTCATTCAATTTTTTTTTGAGTTTCTTTCAGTAGCAATTTCAGATCTTACGAAGATTACCTAACTCGTTTTCTACCCTATCAACCGCAATTCGATCGGCAGCCTGATGTTCAGCCCTATTTCAAGCGAGTGACGCCTGAAAAAACCTACGTTAGTCATTTTAGATGTTTGTAGCTTAGAAATACAAAATTTTATACGGGGAAATTATAGCGGCTACGTAGGGAGATTGAAATCAAGATCAACTAACCACTAACTGTGATACGAACAGAAGAGTGCCCGTCTTTTTGGGCCTGACCAGCTTCGAGTCATTGATCATCTGCTCCATACTTTTCTATAAAAATCCAAAAATTTCTCAGTTATACAATTTTCAGAGCCAATTGCTCAATTTCAAACAATTTTTTTTGTGAATAAACTGAATTAGTAGTCTATAGTCCACGCTTCCTGCAAACAACCATATAACCGTTCCTAAAACCAAAGAGTTTTTTGAAACTTAAATGAAATTAATCACCGCAAGAAAAAAAAATAAATTAAATACAGGGGCGGAGCTGAGCTTCGCACCACTAACAATACAAAACAATATACCAAAGTTGAGAAAAAAATTGACATTAAGCTGATAAAAAACAACATTCTCTTAACTTATTCCTATCAGCGAATTAATTAGGATATAAGGAATTTGTTGGATTGATTTGGAAATTTAATATTATCAGATAATCGCCTTTTTGAACAACGAAAATGAAAAATCAAAATAATAAATTCCAAAAAACAAATATTGCAAAAACTCTTCAAAATAAGTAAACTGCACTTTGCAAACACGAGCGAGAAAGTGGCAAAAAATTCAAGAGCTTGAAAATGGGCACAACTCAAATCGCACGGTAGTTTTCGAAAAAAAATCAAAAAATGGTCCTAACTTCGAAGTTGGACTTTTCTAAGGCCACAACTCTTTTTTACAAAAATTCTGGCGTAGCAGCTCATGCAGAGGAGAGCCTCAGAACACGTTTTGATTAAGCCCTTAACGTCATATTTGCCAGAGGAGTTTTGAGAAACTGGTAAAATGGGCAAAAGTTTCTCCTAAAGTGTCACCAATAAATGAGCATTCTTGTTTGCCCTAAGGTTGGAACAAAATGGATATCGTAATAAGAAATCACTCTCCGTTTGTGTTATTAACGGTGCTCAAAATTTAATTGAAAAAATTTAAAAAGAAACAATTAAACAGTTATAAAAACAATTATGGGACACAGAGCCGAAGCTTCGCTTTGCAAACACTAGCTGGAAACAAAAAGCAGCTCTATAAAGTGCAATAAAAAGACAGAAACCTCGAATTAGAAAAAACTCGGCTACATCTCGGACTCGTACCTACTACCTACAGAGACCTAGAAATTATGAGTCTCACGAACTAACCACTCAGCCATGGAAGCTTAATTAATATCAAACACTAGCCACATATAAAGCAGAGAACAGATGCTATGCACTTTCCAGTGCTATAAGAAAATTTCCATGCAGCGCTGGAAATAAGTGGAAACTTTCAAAAATAAGTGGAGCCCATAAGTTGAAACTTTCAAAAAAAAACTTTTATTTGTGAGTTAGGTTAGAAAAAAAGAAGGTTCGTACTAAAGCACTAGCTGCTGGCTAGTGTAAATAAAACATACATCAGTTAGGCCGACAAAAATGAGGACCAAATCCAAACGGCAAGCAAAAAAATTCATTTATTTCAGATTTTTTATACAATTCAGGAGAAATCTAGTGCAGTTCTTACGAAACATATTATGAAACGCATTTATATGATAAAAGACCACCATGAACCATTTCAGTCATCCTTCGAACAAAACTATTTACGGTTAAAAATCTAATACCAGTGGCATTAACCGTGCTTATCGCCAGGTTAATTATGAATTTGGCACTTTCTCTTGTGCCGCAATCAGAAGTTCACCATCGTGTGTAAAAGTGAGAAAAACTACTCACAAAGTATGAGTTGAAGAATGACTCGCTAGATGCCAAAAGTGATTCTATCATAATCTCAGAGTACAGGGGGTCATTCATCTCATGTGCACTGGAGTACAGGTGTCTCCTGTTTAGCAACTCTGTGTGGATGTAGAGGATATTTCTGCAGCAAAAAAATTGACGTAAACGTGTAGCGGGATTTCACCATCAACCCAGACACTTGTTTTTGAGTGCTACGGGAGCCCATTATAAAGGTATGTTCCTGATACACTGCTGCACATTGATCTCCCAATTTTGATGCATATTTATCTATCAGCAGCTATTCTTCCCCCGAAAACTTGAAGCATCGCAAACTCACACGGTATCGAATGTGGAATCTTATCGCACAGCCCCAGACAACAAGTGATAGCCGACATGAATCGATATTTCCAAAATTTTCAGTGATGCGGGTAAAATAGGGTTTAAAAGCTTGGAAAAGATTCAATTTCATTACTCACACTGGGTTCTTCATGTAGCACTCTCTGATGACCACCTGCAGGGAGTCCACAAAGGATCGGAACAGCTTCTTCAACATGTTTCTGAAAGCCAAGCAGCAATTCAAGGATCATTATTTTAATTTGAGACGTATCAAAATAACTGTTAATGAATGCTTTTACAGTGCATCAGATCAAATCACGGTGCCATCACGAACAAATGAATAAAACCACAAAATGCATTGATAATGAAAAGTATCAAAAAAATTTTGATTTATTATACATCGGACCAGGGTACATCAGGTGAAAAATCACAAATCAAAAATAAAGTACCTGCCGTTATTCAGTGGATGTTTTTAAAGGCGCATGTCACATAATGCCAAAGCAAATTGACTGACCTTCTGAGGTTTTGTTTATTTGAAGCGGAAGTGGTAACAAGCATGAAACTAGAGTTGACAGAGGAAGTCCCGTCGAAAGAAGCATCATGCCCTCCATTCTATAAACAAAACAACATCAGCTAATTTAACTCAAATTAAGCTCTTATATACGCAGGCTTAACTAAGCAAAAAATCCATGCATTTTCAGCTATCAAACAAGCTCCGCTCTTTCGTAATTTTACGATACAACGCAAGCGCAGCATTGCAAGCTAGCGAACAGAAAATAAGACGGAAATAACAGAATCGAAAAAAAAAATCTTTTTTTTTGGTGGAAAAACTGAAAATAATTTCATAGAAACAGTAGAAAAATACAGCCACCAGTTAAAAAATAAACTTTTACTATTTACCGAAAGACCACTAAGCCGTCAGAAAGAGAAAGGACGCCCATTGAGACGAAAACAAAAAAAATCATGAGACAATTGTCATAAAAAATTTCGAAATTAAATTTTTAAGTTTTGAAATGTTGCAACCTACACTACCTGAAATTTTCAAAAACAATCAATCATTTTTTGCTTTTGAAGCGACACAAAACAAAGTAATTGAGACCAAAAAAAACAAGCCGAACCATTGAGGTAGAATAAAACTTTACAAATTACAGGAGTAAATAAAAACCACTTGCATCTACGATGAAAAGTGCTGACAGCACAAGATCATTTGATTTGGCAACAAGCCCGACAAAAGACAACGAGACAAACGAAAGTCCGGGAAAAAAATCAATTACATAAATACTGAAAAAAAAGGCCAGCCTTGACTCAAACCCCCAGACATCAGGGTACAAAGGCAATCGCATTTTCCTTTAGGCCAAGTGGAAAGTCTCGAAGTTGCTAAGGTTCACTAATAAATCAACTTCACAATTTCTTACTGTTGCTTACTATCTTATCTTTGGGAAAAGTTGTTTATGTGAAACAGTCTAGTTCCCGATTACAAGACACATGCTCTCGCAAGTCTAATAAAGAACAGAATCGCAGGCTATCACAAAGCAAAAACTGATATATTTTGCACTTACAGAACTGTTGTCCTCGTCATCTCCTGCATTTGACACCTAAACACACTTCACGTAAGTTAGTGACATAGATTTTGTACTTTATCAGCGCGCGTCGAAAAATCCTTATAACCATTCGAATTCACGGAAGGTGGTTCGCAGTTTTGGTGCTTTCAAGTGGCTCGCAAAATCGGGCTCAAAAATCCACTTATCAAACCAGACCTTAAAAACACCGGGGAATTTTATATCCTCTTTCTCCCTCGCAAAAATCATGGGTCCAATATCTATCCCTGTTTGAGTGAAATTGTTTCTAACGGAGTCTTTGTTGTTCCTCTGTTCGGCTGATGTGGCTGTTTGAGCCTCGTGCAATCCGAAGAAAGAACCCAAGAAGGTGTCCTCTGCACTGTACACAGCGTACAGCTGGTCCAGAGATAGTCGGAACACCTGAAAAAAAAACAGACGCAAATATATGATAAACAGTCCTGCTTTTTTTTGAAAGGATGTTTTGGTTGCAAAGTACCGGCACTACCATAACTTTTTAAAAACACTGACATTCAAACGGCCAAGTATAATTATCAACAAGCTAAATCGCGAGCTAAATTGTCCAATGATATTAAAACTCATGCGCGAATCTAGGATTTTCTCGAGGGAGAGGGGAGGAGGGGTTTTAAACAATTTTGGAAATTCATTCGACCTTATTCACGTCAATCAAATTTTCCGAGCGCTCCCAGAAGACCCTATTTTGACCAAAAATTGTGCGCCGTAGGCAAATTTTTGAAAGTTTTTGGTAATTCGTGTTTCGTGGGAGCGTTCCCTTTCAAAATAAGTAGAGAATGACACCGAGGTTGGTCGACGAAAATGAATGCCATCAATTAATAACAATGGGAGAACCCTTTCGTTGGTGAATGGGTAGCGTCCCCCCTAAATCCATCATTATTACAAATTTAAATGAACTGACATCGATGACGTGCGATCCGACTTGAGACAGATCCACTGGTCCCTTCTTGTTGCTACTCCTCACTGGATTGAGAGTGGCTGCACCCGCCATGGTCGCATCAGACACCGACTGGGCCAGGTTTGTCATGGAACCTACCAACAACACACTACCGATCATCATTAGACTTCATCGAAGGCTGTCATAGACTAACTGAAGCAGACATTGTCTAGAAGGCTCTTGGCTGGATGATTGCCAGCGCTTGTTTATCTATTACTGAAGTACGACCACTTAGCTGCTCAAGTGTGCCAGTTGTTGGTCGGAATCACCTTAAGCAATCGCATAGTTTGCAAACCGTTCCCAGTATTATGACAATGGTTCGCTAATAATGTGAATGAAAAAAAAACGATTCCGGCGAAAACTCATAACTTCTTTTGGCAGATACACAGTAAAGAAAACTTTTCGCAGTCATTTAACTAATTTAGATTTGCCAAGAGCCAACAATGTCTACCTGAGTTTGGAAACTTTCAATACAGCAGCAGCAGAAAGGAAAGATAAGATGGAAAATGAACACATGGAAACATCCAAGAGAGAAAAGTATTTTCAATCGATGACTATAAAAGTTACATACTCGAAAAGGTCTACACGCGTTGAAAACACGCGAATGACATTCAAATTAAAAACAACTGAATGATCCAAAATCTTGACGATTATCGAGAACTGAGTCTCAATATATCTAAGTCTGGTATTAATTTTGCCACTGATGTCAAATGTTTGTTCACAAATTTGTCACATTCTGATTGCTTGAATTGATTGTGATTTTACGGACCAAACATCTGGTTAACTTGTAACCCGAAGTCCATTCCCAAAAAAGACTGAGTGACGTAGGGCGCTACTATGTAGAAGGCTAAAAACAGTCATAAATACACAATAACTCATTTTAACCAACGATGGAGCCTGATTTCTACTGCCGACATTGAAAAAACTTCAAATCATTTTGGCTGATTACTAACACCTGAAAAAGGTTACCGTATTTTATCAGACAGAGCCACCTGGTTAAACACTGCTTTCGAGCATGAGATACATTTTCTAGAATAAAAAAAACTGCCTAAAATAAAAAAACTTCATTTAATCTTTTTTCATCTTCAGATGCGGTTATTGTTCCCAAAATAACGTATCAAACTGAATAACAATTTTTGGTTTGGCTTCTGCAATGAGTAATTTTACCAAGGAACTGCCTTGCCAACACCTAGGAACAGTACTTCACTTCAGATCACATCATCACACAAGACGCTGAGGCAAATTATTGCAGATAGACTCCAGCAATAATGCTGTTTATGATGTATTAGTTGCTTTATATCACCAAGGTGGAGCTAAACATTTAGAACAACTGAAACGCCTTTAAGGGGTCGATTTATAGTGAGTAGCCATCAGACTACTTGTGTTCCAATTAGGAGCAGCTGAATTTTTTGGACACAGAGGCGAAGCGGAGCTTCGCATCACTTCCGATATAACGAAAGCGTACCATTGCAAGATTGAAATAACTAGGTTCAAAAAAATTTAAAAAAAAAAAACAGAAAAAAATGATCCGAAAACAAAAATACCAAAAGAAAGGGTTGTCATAAAAAATTCAACAAACTTTTGGTAGTACAAAAAACTCAATCTCGGAATTTTCGAGTTTCCACTAAGCCAAAAACACATGGTTGGATGCTAATTGATCTAAAAATAAAATCATCAAAAGAAATGGTTGTCATAAAAAAATCACAAACTTTTGGAAATACGAAAAATTGAAAATCGGAAAAACAAACGGGAACACAACAACTAGCAAAGCAAGATTTTAGCAAACTTCGATTGTCTATTAATCTAACAATATGTGATTAGATGCCAATCGATCCGAAAACAAAATTGCCAAAATAAAATGTCATTAAAAATTCAAAAACTTTTGAGAAAAACGAAAACTCAATCTCAGAAAAACAAACGAAAGCGCAAACAAACGCACAACCAAAAATATTAAGCAAAGTTTTATTATTTCCAGAGCTAACAACACCTGTCTAGACGCCAAATGATCCGAAAACAAAAATACCAAAAAAAACTGTTGTCATAAAAAATTCGACTAATTTTTGGAAATACGAAAAATTCAATCTCAGAAAAACAAACGAAAAGAAAACCAATAGCATAAATCAAGATTTCAGTGGTTTCGGATCGTCCATTGAGCCAACAACACGTGGCTAACCTCAAATGATCCGAAAAGAAAAACCAAAAGAAAAGGTTTTCATTAAAAAAAATTTTGAAAAACGAAACACTCAATATCGCAAAACAGACGAGAAATTCAACAACTAGCATTTACCAAGCTTTTATTAATTTTTGAGTTTCCTCTAGCCAACAACCAGTGGTTAGATGCCAATCGAACCGAAAAGCAAATTGCCAAAATAAATGTTTGTCACAAAAAAAAAAAACTTATAGAATTACGAAAATTCAATCTCAGAAAAACAGTCGACAGTACAATGAATAGCATGCAGCAAGTGTTCTGTATTTTTCGATCGTCTTTTGAGCCAACAACACGTGGCTAGACGCCAAATGATCCGAAAAAAAACCAAAACCAATGTTTGTCATAAAAAAATCAACACATTTTTGGAAATACGAAAAATTCAATCTCGCAGAACAGTTAAGCAGCGCAGCAAAAAACCTTAAGCAAAATTTATACAGTTTTCGAGGCTCCACAAAGCCAATAACACATGATTAGACGCCGACTGATCCGAAAACGAAAAAAACCAAAAGAAATTATTGTCATAAAAAAATCTGCAAATTTTTGGAAATACGATAAATTCAATCTCAGAAAAACAGACGAAAGCACAACCAATAGCATAAAGCAAATTTTCAGTCTTTTCCTAGCGCACATGCCAAATGATCCGAAAACAAAAACACCAAAAGAAATGGTTGTCAAAAAAAAATGAACACATTTTTGGAAACACGAAAAATTCAATCTCGCAAAACAGTTGAGCAGTACAGCAAAAAGCATTAAGCAAGGTTTATACAATTTTCGAGGCTCCACAAAGCCAATAACACATGATTAGACGCCAGCTGATCCGAAAACAAAAATAACAAAAGAAACGGTTTTCATAAAAAAATTCAACAAATTTTTTGGAAAATGAAAAATTCACTCTCGCAAAATAGACGCGATACATAACAATTAGCATTCTCAGTAACTTTCGAGTAGGCCAACAAAACGTGGTTAGACTCCAATTGATCGAAAAAAAAATACCATTGGAAATGGTTGTCAAAAAAGTCAACATCTTTTTGGAAATACGAACAACTCAATCTCAGAAAGACAGACGAAAGCACAACCAATTGCATAAAGCAAGTACTTTTCGATCGTATTTTGAGCCAACAACACGTGGCTGGACGCCAAATGATCCAAAAACAAAAATACCGAAACCAATGGTTGTCATAACAAAATTTTGGAAATATGAAAAAATCAATCTTGCAAAACAGACGAAGCACAACAACTAGCATTAAGCAAGATTTTAGATATTTCGATTGTCCATTAAGCTAAAAAGATGTGATTAGATGCCAATCAATAAGGAAACAAAATTGCTAAAATAAAATGAAAAAAAAATTTAAAAAATTTGAGAAAAACGAAAATTCAATTTCAAAAAAACAAACGAAAGCGTAAACTAAAGCACAACCAAAAAAATTACGCAAAGTTTTTTTTTTCACAGCATCCATTGAGATAACAACACGTGGCTAGACGCCAAATGATCCAAAAACAAAAATACCAAAAGAAATGGTTGTCAGGAAAAAATTCAACACACTTTTGGAAATATGAAAAATTCAATCTCGCAAAACAGTTGAGCAGCACAGCAAAAAGCATTGAGCAAAGTTTACACAATTTTCGAGGCTTCACTAGGCCAATAACATATGATTAGACGCCAGATGATCCGAAAACAAAAATACCAAAAGAAACGGTTTTCATTAAAAAAATTCAACAAATTTTTTGAAAAAAAAAGAAAAATTCACTCTCGCAAAATAGACGCGATACACAACAATTAGCATTCTCAGTAACTTTCGAGTAGACCAACAAAACGTGGTTAGACTCCAATTGACCGAAAAAAAATACCATTGGAAATGGTTGTCAAAAAAGTCAACATCTTTTTGGAAACACGAACCACTCAATCTCAGAAAGACAGACGAGAAATTCAACAACTAGTAGCATTAACCAAGTTTTTATTAACTTTCGAGTTTCCTCTGGCCAACAACCAGTGGTTAGATGCCAATCGATCCAAAAAGAAAATTGCCAAAATAGATGTTTGTCAAAAACAATTCAATAAATCTATAGAAATAAAAAAAAGTCAATCTCAGAAAATCAGACGAAAGCACAACCAATTGCATAAAGCAAGTATTTTTCGATCGTATTTTGAGCCAACAACACGTGGCTAGACGCCAAATGATCCGAAAACAAAAATACCAAAACCAATGGTTGTCATAACAAATTTTTTGAAATACGAAAAACTCACTCTTGCAAAACAGACGAAGCACAATAACTAGCATTAAGCAAGATTTTAGATATTTCGATTGTCCATTAAGCTAAAAAGATGTGATTAGATGCCAATCGATAAGGAAACAAAATTGCTAAAATAAAATGAAAAAAAAAAAAAAACTTTGAGAAAACAAAAATTCAATTTCAAAAAAACAAACGAAAGCGTAAGCTAAAGCACAACCAAAAAAATTACGCAAAGTTTTATTTTCAGAGCGTCCATTGAGCTAACAACACGTGGCTAGACGCCAAATGATCCAAAAACAAAATTACCAAAAGAAATGGTTGTCATGAAAAAATTCAACACACTTTTGGAAATACGAAAAATTCAATCTCGCAAAACAGTTGAGCAGCAGAGCAAAAAGCATTGAGCAAAGTTTACACAATTTTCGAGGCTTCACTAGGCCAATAACATATGATTAGACGCCAGATGATCCAAAAACAAAAATACCAAAAGAAACGGTTTTCATAAAAAAAATTCAACAAATTTTTTGAAAAATGAAAAATTCACTCTCGCAAAATAGACGCGATACATAACAATTAGCATTCTCAGTAACTTTCGAGTAGGCCAACAAAACGTGGTTAGACTCCAATGGATCGAAAAAAAATACCATTGGAAAT